AGCTGGTCGATTTTGGGCAGGGGAAAGCTGCCTTTTGGACAGGCTTTGTTGAGGTTGGTGAAGTCAATACAGGTTCACCACTTGTTATTGGGCTTCTTTACTAGAATTGGGTTGGCAACCCAGCTCTGGTAGAGCGTTTCTTGGATGGATCCATTCTGAAGGAGGTTATCTACCTCGATTTTTAAGGTAGCATGGTGCTCTAGATCTATCGCCCTTCTTTTTGGCGGACCGGTTTGGCTTCACTATCGATGTTTAAAGCATGGCAAATGATGTCCGGGCTGATCCCGACCATGTCGGCATGCGTCCATGCGAACACATCAATACTTTCTCTGAGAAAGCTGATCAGGTCGTTAGCGAGCTGGGGGTTGAGATTGCTTTCGATCCTCAACACTCTGCTCGGCTCGCTCTAGTCGACTGATACTTCCGTTAGATTCTCAACTGGCCCACTGGCAGGGCATTCTTGGATACGAGATCCATATTATCCTTGGTTGGGCTAGGCTGTGGTTCGATCCGACTGATCGTCATTGCCTGTTTGGGAATGCCACGCGAGATGTCTTTCCCCTTACACGTCATCTGCACTGCCTTAGCAGTCGCGAGATACGCGCTGAGATCCGCTTACTTCCCCTATCCTTGTCAGGGTGGGGAACTTCATCTTAAGATGATAGATCGAAGTGACTGCTTTGAAGTTCCTCAGTAGAGGTTGCCCTAGAATTCCATTGAATGCGGATGGGCAATCCACTACTAAGAATTCAGTTATTTTGGTCACCTCGTCAAAGTCACCCGGCGTGACTAGAAGCGAGGTCATTCCTTTGGGGATCAGATGATCCCCTGTAAAACCATACAGGGGGATCGAGGAGGGCTTCAGGTCGGCCTCGTCCAACTTCATTCTTTTGAAAGTTGTCTGCAACAGGATGTTCACAGCGCTTCTGTTGTCCACCAACATTATGTGGACGTCAAAGCACCCTATTTGGGGCGTGATGACGAGAGTATCATCATAGGGATGATGCAATCGGACTACGTCTTTTTTGAAGAAGGTGATTTCTTCCTCCCTGTGAACCTTTAGTGGTCACTGCGTTGTGTTCATCACACTGATGGGATCGTGATAGGCTGCGCCAGCATATCTTTCCTAGGCACCTCGCGAGTTTCCTCCGAGGTGCGATCCTCCAAAGATTATCCCCACACTACTGACTTTCTTGCGATCACGACGCTTCTTACTCGGTTCCTCTTGATTTTTCTCCCTTACGGGAGCAGAGTCATCAACATACTCTTTGAAATGCCCCTGCTTGATAAGATTTTCAATTGCCTGCTTGAGAGCTTGGCACTCATCGGTGTGATGCCTATTGTCCCTATAATAACGATAGTATTTTTAACTGTTTCGAGATGAGGAGAGATGTTTCATGGGCTCAGGCTCTCCGAGCAGACCGGCCTCTTCTGATTTATCAAGAATGACCTAAACAGATGCATTCAAAGGGGTATACAGAGTTCTATCGCGATCGCGATGAGAAACTGGAGCATAAGACTTCTTGGGCTCGAATCAAGGTTTCTTTCCTTTTCGTTGATCGTCATTAGCCCATCTACGATCAACTCTCCTATTTTCGCCCCGACCTGGGGCATCGCCAGAAGTGTCGGGATCATGGTGGTGGAGCGCTACCACGGAGCTCTTAATACGGAGGTATTTCTCCGTAAGGTTGTAAAAACAGGTCAGAGAAACATCATCCTCTGATTGCAGCTCCTTCCACAGATCTGTCTGTGGACGAACTCCCATTATAATGAGAGTTCGAACGAACTCCTCGGGAGTATGAGCTATTTTATGGAGCTCCTTGTGGAGCCTATCAATATAAGATTGGAGGGATTCATTCCTCTCATGTCTTATGTTATTGAGGTAGCTCAAAGGCATCAAGAACTTCCTGTTCGCCTAGAAGTGTCTCAAGAATGTTGAACTCATCTGGTTCCACGAGCTGATTGATCCCGCTGGGAGCGACCTGAGCAATCGCTTGGCATGAGATGTAAGAGTTAATACCAAGCACCGGCATTTTGCCAAATCAGAAACTTGATGAAGTTCCATCAGGTCGTTGAATTCGTATAAATGATCCTGCAGATCAAAATTTTCATCGAACGCCCGCATATCGGGCATTCTGAATCTTGACGAGAGAGGGGCGGCTAACACAGCCGGAGAAAAGGGAGACGCTTATGCAACTTGCCCTTGCTCGTTTTGTTGAGCTTTTAGCTGATCCAGAGCTTGTTGTAGCTCCTCAATCTAAGGCAGCGGAGCTATCTGGGGATTGCTTTCCCCCATGCGGGTTCGACCCTTGTGATTGCGGTTGAGGAAAGTTTGGAGGTCGGATACATTTTTGCCTTAGCCGGCAATTCTGACCACTCTCGACACACACTAGCTAAAGCCATGTGATGGCGATGAATGGTGTGAGGAATTTTCACGACCTCTATGGTGGTACAAAACGCCTCGCGGAGTGTGGGAACCTCCTGCACGATGATGATCCAGATCGTCATTCTAGCAGTGATAAGAATTGCCCCGCGTAGCACTTTTGTGGAAGTGCTCATGCGACATGGCATGGGACAGCTCGGGATGCGATCTGTCATCGAGCCTTAACACCACAGGTATTCTACCTGGGACATGGTCGGTGTTTGTCGGCCCTTTAGAGCCCTTAGGCCCGCTGTTCGCCACTTGCTTACCCTTCCTTTGACGCGCTGCAATGCGTGCGACACGGGCTATCGCCTTTTTTTGCGCCTTCATGCGACCTGCAGGCTTTTTAGGCGGTGGCACCTCCTCATTTGATTCGGGTGGTGTAGCCCGATCCAAACAGTCAACCGAAAAATGGTCCAACCTTTGGTTGACTGTTTGGAAAGTATTGTTGAACCTCTTTAGGTAGCTCATGACAGCTAGGTCAAGCTGTGAGCTTGAAGGAATATTCCCCGCGAGGTTTTGCACCTGGGGAACTTCTTCCTCACCATGATCAGGTCGCTCAGATTCTAATTTGCGAGCCATTTGCTGTTGTAGGACCAGTTAGTTAGAGATTCTCCTGATGAAGGATGAATACTAAATCAGACTCTCCTTCTAGCGCCAAACTGTTGATGCATGATTTTAACACCAACTAAACACACGTGTGAAATGTTGAGCTGACTCATAAAACACACGCTATTGGGGGGATGAGAATGGATAAAAGATGGAAAAAGATGTTTAAAGTGGTTCGGATGCTTAGAAAACGACTCCTACGTCCACTGATATTGTATTAAGATACCGGGGTCAGGTCACGTTCAGCGAGCTGACTTACAAGTGGTTATAAAGAGAAAATAAGTAAGCTATTACAGAGAGAAATTAGTCAATCCCACAAACGGGAAGCCCTCTATTTATAGTGCGATGAAATCACGTAATGATTACTAAATCCGTGAATTGGTCATATTGCTGTGCAAATCCTTCCTTGTGCCCCGTTATTCACCAACTCGAGTAATCCACTCGAGTTTTGCAGGGATTGGACACGTGAATCACCTCCAGCCTAGCACGCACCTACTGCACTGGCAAGACCACGCCTCTTACGTCAGCGCGCGACGTGGCTGCACCTGAACGGCACCTGGACTTACCTTAGCTCTAACCATTTGCGCTGACAGCCCATCTGCGTCAGCCCTACTTTTTCAGCCATAACAATATATAATCTCAACACCATAAACACTTCTCATGAATTATTTACGTGTAATTTCTAAGAACAGCTTAACACTTTACATGTGCAAGTCATTGGTGTCATAATCACGTATCAACAAATCCCTTCTATGATATCTTTACAAAATTTTGTAATTATTAATTAGCAAATGACAATACTCATTACAATTTACAACAACAAGAACAGAACCCGTGGGAAAGAGTAATTAAGTTGACAAATTAGTGCCGACAATCTCAACAAATAGCGCCATTGGCATTGGTAATTTGGGCATCAAGCATCCTTGAGTTGACTACTTGCAAAGATATACATCAGAAACCAAATAATTAAAGCTCATTGTTGTGTCAATTGGATTCAGCAATAATCTGACAACTGAGAAGAAGGCAGAAGTAGCAGTAATGATTCCACGAAAACAGAAACATTCAAGGCCAACCTCAAGCCCCATTCTTGCTTCGCCCACTTGTCCTGTTTGCAATGGGTTAAACTGAGCAAAATTTCTTGTCAAAGAAGATTTCTCTCTTATATTCATGATGTTGAAATTGGAATTGGAACCACGCATCAAAAGTGTTATTCTCATCAGAAAAAGTCATACAAAGGAATGCACGTTAATAAAGTTGGAATCCCGTGTCCAAAGTATTGCAGAATGCAGACGACTGCGATTTCAAAAGCTTCCATGAACTGGTTGTTCACAGCTCTTTTATTTTATCTTTTGACTTCAAGGTCAGATGTTTTCCATTCATAAAACCAACCCACATCACAAATCCCTTTCTATTAAAAATTGGCCACTGTTGCTAGTTTGAAGATTGCTGGAAAGACAATGATGACGATCTACAGCCATAGATAAGGATGTCTTTGAGCAAAGTGAACTTCAACTAAAATTTTAACCATTAAATTAAGAGCATTATGTACTAAGAAGTCTAACTCAGAAGAAGGATTTTGTGAACGTGTCAAAAACAAAAAATTTTGAATGAGTAAGCATCCTTCAACACAGCAACAGAAGATAAACATTCAGCCTTAGGAGAATGATTACACCACCTAAGAATTTCTGATACACGAATTAACCAAAAAAAAAAAAAAAAAAAAAAAAGCGCAAACAAACTATAATCTACGCATCATACGTGCAGAGGTTCTCAAATCCCATGTAGCAGTGCTTCAATCTTCTCAATCATGTTTGATATGCCAACCCCACCTATCAACAGAAGAAAACATCAGTTCGGAATTTGTCAAGTAAAATGATTATTCAAGCCAGACAGCAGAGAGATCAGCACCAACCTAAAGATATTGCGCTAATAAATATTGTCAAGGCTAAAATAAAGATGATAAGCGATGCCTTCCCAATAAAATAATCAGTTTTCTCACACATGCTGCCCAATAAAAGCAGCAACGGTAGCCACAGCAACAAAGTAGAGAGCTGCCAAAGAAAGTAAAAAATCCATTGAATTAGATAAAACAAGATCCAACATCTAAGTGCAAATTACATCCGCGTTTCTTTGGAAAGGTTTTTTTTTTTCTGATTTAAGGAATTACAGAAGTACAAATGCATACAAAAAATTTGGGTGCCAGTGGGTTGCTTAAGTAAGGGACAGGAAAACGTTTCAGAAGGTAATATTCTACAACTGACATGGATGAGGAGAAGGTCATAGCAAAGGTAGCAGTGGCACTTGAGACCTGCATAGAAGTCATCAAGAAGAGTAAAACTAACAAATATTTAGCAATGCTTTGACTCAGAGAACATAACTTTCTTGTAAACACAGTCATCTTTGCCTCTCCGTCATTCTGGTTCTAGTAAAGCACATCTCCACCAAAAGAGGTTTTCAGATCCTTGAGGTTACCATGTAAGAAACCTTACATGCGTAGCCACATTTTGCAAAAGCATATATTATCACGTTAATGCTTCATTCTTAACCTGATATTTCTGTCTAGTCATTAGTTCCCAAATTATGGACAAATATTGGAGTTGGGAACAATAAAGGTGAAGGAAGCATAAATCACTTCCTTGCAGAAGCTAAAACTAATGAATATGATTTTCTGCTCCGACACAACAGTTAATCAAGTATAGTTCCAGAGGTACAATGATTATGATCATCATTCATATTCAAAATAAATTTGTATTATAATATAAATTTATAAATTCAGATCACATTTAAAAGGAAACAATAACCCACCTGAGGAGGAACTCCCAGCTCCAAAAACAGTGGACCCATGATAAATCCTCCTCCTAGTCCAAGCAGCCCACCAACCACCCCAGCCAATACTCCAAAGGCACAATAGGTAGCAAGCTGGTGCACTTTTAAACTTTTTCCGTCCTCTCCCTTTGAAGCTATTACTCTACTTCCCTTGTACAAGCTAACAGCCTCATACATAGACACCCCAAACGAAACTGGGATCTGGATAACATACTCATTGTCAAATTTGGCAGTGTTCAGGTATCATGTCTCAATCACACAGGCAAAAGCAGATAAAAACTTGTAGATACTCATTGTATAAGAAGTCCAATAATGCAATAGAATGTACCTGCATTAAGTTCAATACCCAATATGCTACCGAACATGTAGATGTATAATTCTGTAGCCAAAGTCATTAATTTCAGTTAGCCCAGAATACTGCGTAACAAGAAATTGAAATATATACTATGACGATAAGAGACAGCAGAAGAAACAAAACCTTGGAAATTTGTAGTCCAAGGAATGCAACCCAAACAAACACAAGAAGTCCGAGTTCCTTCCAACAAACATTCTCCAAAATAGTCACCTGCCATTGCCAAATATATTAGCTTCAAGAATTCTTTATAACTCACTACAGCAGACCAAAGTGCACTCACTTCTCGGTCCATGGTATCCTTTTGAGCTTCACTCCTTGGACCACTAGGAAGGGGCTTATACTCCACCTCAGCAGCACCAGCACCTGCCAGAAAAGGAAAAATAGGTGGGTTGATTTAAGATGGATGATGTATGAGCAAGTATTATTCAATAGTCTTTGGATATAATTAATATAACAGCAAGTACACGTACCATTGGATTCCAGACGCTTCGCAGCCTCCTAAAATCGAAACCAAGTTCAAATGGTTAAAATCAATTTTTGGGGCATTAATACATACATTACAATCGAACTTTGACCACAGATTTTATATGTTCCTATTTGATTTTCAGTGAATTAGAAGACCAAGAAAGCAGAAAACCATCTCTAACAATGGACTCCAATTGAAAGTTATCATGACTCCAATTATGAAATTTTATGCAGCATGCAATAGAAAGGGCTCCTTTATAAATGTGACAGGAGAGACCACAAATTATGTTTTAGTGGAATGATCTTCCATTAATACAAGAAGTGCACATGGCCTGGTACTCAAAGCAAAATATCTGTATAAGTAGATGAAATTACCTTTTTCATAATGGTTTCTTTTTTCCATGTCTCGACACCCTTGAAGAACGCCTTGGTTGAAGTGCCTATGAGAACCATCATAATCAACATAAGTTGTTATTAAAGCAAACTTCCCAACAGGGGGAACGGCAGCTTGAGTAACCATTACCTAAAAAGAGAACAATGAGTAGAACTGTGACCATCCAGTCAGCAAATACAACATTGAATGCAACCCCTATGCTAATTCCCAGCATGAGCATTGGTTGAATTAGCAGAGCCAGATCATAGTCAATGATAGGCATATCAATTGTAGGATGCCTTAGCTTAAGGTTATAGTAAACTGTGGAGGCTGCCGCACCCATAATCATACCTGAAACAAAAAAAAAAACAAGAGGGCAGAGATTTTAAATTACAGAAAAATCAGCTTCGTTTATTATCTTTACTTCATAACTACTGTCAATAATTCCACTAAAAGGAGAACCCAGAATTTCTGTAAACACGCAAACATAGATGCCAGCATTAACTAATTATGCATGCATCACATTGTAATCTGTCACACTGAGAACTTTGGCACTATTGAATTCAGCCATTGGCAAATAACAAACAGAAATCACAAAAACACAAAAAATATTTACAATCAAAATTCATGAAACAAGTTTATAACAGTTTTAAAAGAGAAATCTAGGTGTATCACCACAGTGATTAAAATTTTCAGAGCTCAACTTAAACATGTTTAAGACTCAAGGTCGCTAAAAGTGGAATCAAGCAGGATAAATTTAAAAAAAAAGGTTAATGGCTGTCATGTGAAGACAATATAGTCAATGGCATGGATCACATAATCCTTTGTGCTCAAATATTTAAAACTTCTTAAACTTAAGAAAATAGTGTTTTAACTCCATTCAAATCTGAACTTTTTGTTTCTACCTTTCCCCGTTTTAGAAAGAAATGAACAAGCATCCGAACAACCAGTCTCTTTCAAGTTTTAACCTTTTCTATAAATTTTATTTCAACAACTAAGATTCATCGGTCTCTTACATTTTGAAATAGCGGTAGCTGATTTTGCATCAAACCCAATAATGAGGCTAAGCATAGGAACAAAAATTCCGCCACCACCGACCCCACCAACACTTCCAAACGCAGCTCCGAAGAATCCAATAATACTGCCCAGAACAATTTGCCATCCAAATTTCATTTCCTGAAAACAACATATTTCAACTTTATTTCAGTAAAATTTTTCATTTTAAATCCACACTGAGAGACTATATAATCCAAAACTTAATGCACACAAAAGCACACCCACCAACATTTGTTAAAACAAGACGATAACGACTGTCAGTTTTATTTATTTATTTATTAAATAATAAATACAGATAGATTGAAGAATCTAATAACCAAAATTAAAAGGTCCGGGGAATATTCAACTCACCGGCCAAACATGGTGATAACCAGATTGATCAGATTGCCATAAGAAATTTACAGCTTTGAGAAGAAAATCTGATTCATGTTTTGCTCCTCCATTGAATCCTGAAGCTTCAAGTTTTAAGCCTCTTTCGGCTTTAGCAAACACAAAAGCCAACACAAAGTTGAAAAAAATCATTAATATCGGTCTCAAAACCCGCCATTTCGCTCCAAAGTCCGCCATTAGATCGAAAATTCACCACCAATTCTCAACAGTCTCTCACTTTCTCTCGCCAAAGTTCATACAAAAAACAAATCCCACCTCTAAAATTCTACAAAACTCTTAAAAACTCTTATACTAGCACCAAAAACGTAGGCACGTGGTTATATTGATTCAATGAAAGCAACTGCAAAAGAAAAAAAAGAAAAAAAAAAAAACGAAGAAGAAATGTTGAATCTTTGAATGAGTGGTCGATTCCTGCTAGATTTGCAGACCCAAGTGGAACAATTTGAGTGAAAAAGAAAGAAAGTTTCTGGGAGAAAAGAGAGAAATACGAATTATAGTTATCAACTCCTTGATGGTGAGTATGTGTTTTTATAAAAGAGAAGCGACGTGAATGTTCGAAAAAGTTGGTGGGGGATGTAAAAAGCAAAATGAATCAAATGAGAGACTCGGAGAGAGTTTCTCTCCTTTTCCCTTTATCTCTGAAGTATGAATTCGTGTAAGTAAATATATAAATTTATAAAGAAAGACGAAGAAGAGTGAGAATGGTGGGTGGTCTGAAATGAGCGATTGATTTTGAATCTTTGATTCTGTGAGAGAGAAATAACCAATTTTTTATCAAATTTATGTCTTTGTTTGGCTGTGTTTTAGTGACAAGTGGTTGGTTTGATATTTTGGATGTTTATGAGGGTAATTTAGGAATAATGCGTCACTATTGCCCTCTCAAGTCTCAACATCAATATCACAACCATGCTTTATTAATTTTTATTTTTATTTTGGCGAAACTATTTTAACAACCAAAATTTTAATTTTTCTATTTAAAAAATAAAAAGGTTTTTTTTAATTTAAAAATTAAAATGTTCGGATCAATTTACACACATGTTAACTAATTTTTTAGATCTATTGAATACTATAAGTAATTGTAAGATTTAAACTCAAAAAACTAAAAAGAAAATAAAAAAAATAAAAGGAAACTTTCTTCCCACGTGATTTTCGTATATAGACTTCAGAGTTGTTTTTATTAATTTGAAATTAAATAAAATAATATCATTGGACATGTTTGGCTTATTATTTCTATCCATATTCTCAATCATATTCTCCAAATAAAGTTTGGTACATTATTCTAGGAATATTACCTTTTTTTTTTTAATTATTTTTAGACCCCATAAGGTTATTAATTTCATTAAATACCCATTAAAAAAAAGTTTAAAAATTAACAAAAATACCCCCGTGACCCACACTTGCCAGATTCCGGCAACCACCGTCGATAATAGCCGGAATCTGTCATAACGGTGAATTACCGATCGAAACTGGCCGATAATTCACCGATCTGGCCTTTTCCGCCCAGATCCAGTCGCAGCGACGACCATATCTTTGGCCGTTGCTGACGACCAAAGATAGCCATCGTTTTGGCCTTTTTCGACCGTCGGGGCCACAGCAAGCCGTAGATCTGACCTTTTCCGGCCATATCCGTGGTGGATCTGGCCGGAAAAGGCCATAACGACGCGTTACAACACAGATCCGATCGGTCTGTGTCGTAATACGATTTTTTGACTAGATTTTGGCAGCGGTGGCCAGAATCTGACACTGCAGGTGGTGGAGTTATTTTTGTTATTTTATATATTGGGGTGTTTAATTAAATTAGTAAATCTAGGGGCTTTTTTATAAATTTTTAAATTTTACCTCGTAATACTTTCTTATTCAACTACCCAATATTATTCCTAAAATTCTATTCAAAATAATAAACCAAACGCACCCATGTACTCTAAACCAAGCTAACTAAAATTAGGTGACACAGAAATAATATTTAATTATTTATTTTTAAGAAGAAAAAATGAGGAGACTTTTAACTCTGCCTATATAATATAACTAGCTGCACATATCAGACATTATTAGGGATTATCACGTGACGAAATTAAGTTATTGGAGTCTGACGTGGGCGATAGGCCATGGCGGACTCTTTCCTGTCGTTCTATCTCTTCTTGGCCAGAATCAATTGGCAAATTATGGTGCAGAAAATAAAAAAAAAATTACATGCGTTTGTTTAGTAATTCATAGTGTAATTTTGAAATATTATTATTAGATAAGATTTGATAATTATTACGAGATAAAATTTAAAAATTTAAAATAGTTAAATAATTTATGATAGAATTTTGATAATAGAAAAATAAATATGTATTTTGATTTGGAATACGGATAAGATAGAAAAATAAATGTGTATTTTAACTCTTTGAAATAATATTTTTGAAATATTATTATTAGGTAGAATTAGATGGTTATTAAGAAGTATAATTTAAAAATTAAAAATAGTTAAATAATTTAGAATAATATTTTGAAAATATAAATAAAAATATTTATTTTAATTTAGAATATAGGATATTTAAACAAAGCACCATGATCATAGGCTCTATTTTCATAATAAATCCAATAAGGAAGGAGTTGGCTGGTTAGCAGATCTACCTTGAATTAACGTTGTTAAAGAAGCACGTGTAGGTGGGCAGGCAGGAGACGTTGAAAACTTCAATTTGATGGACCACACACTGTGATTTTTTTTTTTTTTTTTTTTTTGAGCCTTTTACCTTTAAAATAAAATAAAAAAATATTACGTCTATAATTCAATTTTACAATTTTCTCTTATAATCCTAACATAATTGCAGAGTTGATATTATTATGTTAACTAATAACTTTGATTAAATATAAACGGTCGTTCCTTGAAAACAAACCACCGTTTTTTCATATGAAACAGCATTCTTCATGAAGGAATGATTGTTAGTTAGTGTTTTGAGCGTGGTGTGAGATTGTTAGTTAGTGTTTTGAGTATAGTGGGAGCTAACGTGACAATTGTTAACTCAACTATCATATTGGGATTGTAAGAGAATATTATGACATTAGGTTGTCGACATAGTATTACTTTTAAATTAAACGATCAAAATTTTAACTGTAACATGACAGCAGAATTAGTATTATCATGTCAATTGATGACTTTAACAAAAAATAAACAGTCGTTTCTTAGAGACGAACAGTTGTTTCTTATTTTTTATAAATGAACGGTCGTTCGTCCCTAAAAAATAATTATTTGTGTTTAGTCAAAGTCATATAATATCTTGGGTATGAAGGAAGCTAATATAACAATTGTTAAGTTAGCTAATAAGTTTAGATTGTAAGAGAAGATTGCGAGATTGGGTTGTAAGAGTAATATTACTCTTAAAATAAATTGTCAAAAATTTATACAAGAATTAAAAAAAAAAAAAAAAAAGTCTCCTAGGCCATGTTTGGCTTATTATTTTTATCCCTATTCCCAATCCTATTCTCCAAATAATGTTTGACATATTATTCCAGAAATATTACTCTGTTTTTTTAATTACTTATAGACCCCATAAGGTTATTAATTTCATCAAATACACCCTAAAAAAAGTTTAAAAATTATCAAAAGCACCCCCGCGACCCATACTTGCCAGATTCCGACAACCACCATCGGTGGTAGCTGGAATCTGTACAACGGTCTACCTGCCAACCATAAATGGCCGAAAGTTCACCGATCTGGCCGTGAACGACGGCCAAAGAAATGGCCGTCGTTGAGGTCAACGACAGTAAAATCTTGGCCATCGTTGACCGAAAATGACGGCCATATCTTCAGCCAAAGATGGCTGTCGTTTTAGCCTTTTCGACCGTCGACGGTCACGGTAGGCCGTAGATCTGACCTTTTTCGGTCAAATCCATGATGGATCTGGCCAGAAAATACCATAACGATATGTTACGACACATATCCGATCGGTCTGTATCGTAACGTGATTTTTTTACCAGATTTCTGCGGTGGTGGCCGGAATCTAACACTGCAGGTGGTGGGAGTATTTTTGTTATTTTACATGTTAGAATATTTATTAAATTAGCAAATTTAGAGAATTTTTTATAAATTTTATCTTATAATACTCCTATATTCTATCTCCAAAATCCTATCTAAAATAATAAACTAAATGCGTCCTCAATGTTATGATGGATGAAGTGGAAGAGATATGTAGTGATAGACACAATCATTAAAAAAAAATGCATTGATAGAAAGTAGGATGGCGAAGACAAACACGTATTTGACTATAACATAAATTTATATTAATAAAATAATATTACTTTTAAAGAAAAAGTGGCTAAAAAGCTAAATTTGTAACTGTGATCCTTATCCTTTCCTTTCTTATCCAATCAATTTCCCTCTAATTACTTAAAAAAATATTTTTTTATTATTATTCGGGTATGAATTTGTTACAGTATCTTTTTTCTTTAATGTCATGGATAAGTAATTTAATAATTTTATAAGAGCAAGCAGATGCACCGCTGACTAGCCACTTGCGTGCAGCATGTTTACGAACAATTATTTATATATTTCATTTTCACCCGTAATGCTTTTTAAATGACCCGTTGAATTCAAAAACTATCAAATACATCCAAATTTCGTGTATCACAGTGTCAGAACTAATATTTTTAAATAAATATAATATTATTTTCTTTTATCTCAAGATTTCTTACTAAAATCTTATCAACACAACAATAACTCATAGGAGTCATAGCCACCAATTTTGGTTTTATTTTCTCTAAGTGAGAGTGTTAACATCCGACGTTGGATCTTACACATACTTATACTTAACTTGAGGGACTCTACCACCTATTAGGATAGTCTTTTAGGTTAGATTCTCTCTTATATTTGAGTTATAACATTAGTATTTTCGTTGAGAGTTTGGTTACGAAAATACTTACTTATAACCTAGATTAGGCTTAATATCACATTTCATAAGTGTGAGATCCTAATTAGGGATCTTAATAGGGAGAAATGTTTGTATGACATTGATCTATGACTAAGAGCAGGGGCGGATCCAGAAATCTTTATTAGGGTGGGCCAAACAAAAATTTTTAGTTCTAAAATTGAGACTGGGCCACAATTTTTTAATATTTGACAATAAAAATTAAAGGTGGGCCAAAGTCAAACTAAATGGAATAATGTATTTAATTTTTATTTTTTTAAAATTGAGGGTGGGCCTTAATACACTTTGGATCCGCCCCTGACTAAGAGGAATGAGAAATGAAGAGAGAATGATATCAACTTTGAAAAAAAAAAAAATACGAAGAGACATAGTGGCTACGAACTACTTCTAAGCAGTTTGATTGTTCTTTTAAAACTCTTTAATGTATTACTTAAGAGACTTAAACTCTTTATTGTTGACATAATTACTAGGGTACTTATCT